GTACGACCAGCAGCAGCACATCAATTGTAAGTTTGATCTCGTAGATAATATAAATACAATGTTGACGCTCCTATAGCCGAGCAACGCACCAAAATAATCGCCTGGTTGTCGCCTCTCAATTTCTTTCTGCGACAAGCGGACATTAGCCGTGTGCGACAGGCCGGAATGGGAGGATGGTTTCTTGCGCATCAGTGCTTCCAAGAATGGGAGTCCAGCGCTGGAGGAACGTTGTGGTGCCGTGGAATACGTTCGTGGCCGGCCTCTCCCCTCGGGATTCCTGACTCAAATTGAAAATCCACAGCGGGTGCGGGAAAAACTGTCCTTGCGTGCGCCCGAATTTCGCATGCCCGCCATTCGCTAATGTCACCTTCAATAGATCTGTGGTTGTGGAGCATCTCCACCGTAAATCTGAAGACCACAACCTTGGAGTAGCGAACATATATCTAAACCATAAAGAAACACAAAGCCCTGCACACCTGCTCGCGAGTGTATGGCGACAACTCGTGCTTGGCAAAAGTATTGGCTCTGCAGCACAGAGAGCCTACGACCAACACTCAGAGAAAGGCACCGAACCTTCTTTGGACGAAATTGATCAGATTCTCCGCTCCGCAGTGACCGAATGGTCAAAGGTTTACGTCGTCATCGATGCCCTTGATGAATATCCGGAGGAAGAACGTTATATCCTGCTTGGATATCTAGCTGTGATGGGTCCCACAGTCAACCTCATGCTGACTTCCCGGCCCAATATCTCACTCCACAATTCCCTTACAAATTTTCAAGTCATTGAGATCCGTGCAAACGAGGTCGATATTCGGAGATATCTGGACGAGCAGATCCGAATATCTCCACGCCTATCATTACACGTCAACGCACGACCGGTGCTACGACATGAAATTGTTTCATGTCTAATTGCTAGGGCGGATGGGATGTAAGTGTCGTGTCTCCTGACGGAAGAGTGAACCATTTAACAGCCATTGATCAGGTTTTTACTCGCCAAGCTTCACATTGAATCTTTGCGCAAAAAACCCACTATCAGGGCCCTTCAAGAGGCTCTGCAAAACCTCCCAGCGGATTTAGAGCATACGTATGAAGACACAATGGAAAGAATTGAAGCTCAAGACGGGGAAGACAGCAGGATTGCTCGCTCGGCCCTTACCTGGATTGCAAATGTGAAGAGATTATTGACGGTTCGAGAGCTTCAGGAAGCTCTAGCCATTGAACCCGGGACAACTCGAATGGACCCCGAGAACCTTTTGGATATTGAGATTATCCTCTCTGTCTGTGCTGGCCTGGTGCTCGTTGACATGAACAAACAGGTCCGACTCGTCCACTATACTACCCAGGATTATTTGGACAGCATCCAGGCCAGGCGATTCCCAGATGTGCAAACACACATAACACGTACTCTACTCACGGTTCTCGCCTTCGATGGGGAATCTCGGGTGTTTTCCTTCAATGGGGGATCTCGAGCGTTTTCCTTGGGTCGGAAGTCAACGTTTTCCTTTGATAGGGAATTTCAAGCGCTTCCCTTGTGCTATTATCGTCAGTTCTGTCTGGTGCATGCCGTTGGCCAGCCGGAGGCAGACCTCAGAGACATGATTGCCAATTTCCTGGGACAGTCTTCTAACTTCAGTACCCTCCGTCGGGGTAGTGGCCCACCTCCTTGGAACTACCCTGACTGGCCAGCCTACACATCACCCCTGTGGATCGCAGCAGGAGCCAATCTAGTTGAAACTGCAACAAATCTCATAAACACAATGCCGAAAAGTCTACACGATACAGATTGTAGTCCACTGCATGTGGCAACATTTTACGGACATCTCGAGATGGTTCAATTACTCATCGAGGAAGGGGCCGACGTGGACGCACGGGATCGGAGATCTACAAGTGCGCTTCACATAGCATCGAGCAGAGGCCACGAAATCATCGTCCGCCTGCTCATCAAACACGGTGCCGAAGTGAATGCACAGGATGCGGAATGCAGCACCGCGCTTCACGTAGCTTGCAGGAAGGGCCACACAGAACTCGTCCGCCTGCTTATCGAGCTGGGCGCTGACCTTGATGCACGGGAGCAAAACCGAACTCCGCTTCTCATAGCATTGGGTGATTCCAAACCGGCCACAAAAACCAGCTACGGCAACACTGCCTACCCTGACCTTGACATGTATTATGATGATGATATAAGATACAAAGAGTCGAGCAGACGAGACATTGTTCGGTTCCTGATCAAGAACGGTGCTGATGTGAATGCACAGGGTGGATATTTTGGCAATGCATTACAGGCAGCATCCTGCAAGGGCACCCCGGAAACCATTCAGATCCTCATTGATGCGGGGGCAGCTGTCAATGCACAGGGTGGAAAATATGGCAATGCATTGCAGGCAGCATCCTACAAGGGCACCCCGGAAACTGTTCAGATTCTCATTAATGCGGGGGCAGCTGTCAACGCACAGAGAACATGGCAATGCATTGCAGGCAGCATCCTACATGGGCACCCCGGAAACCGTTCAATTACTCATCGAGGAAGGGGCCGACGTGAACGCATGGGATCGGAAATCTAGAAGTGCGCTTCACATAGCATCGAGCAGAGGCCACGAAATCATCGTCCGCCTGCTCATCAAACACGGTGCCGAAGTGAATGCACAGGATGAGGAATGCAGCACCGCGCTTCACGTAGCTTGCAGGAAGGGCCACACAGAACTCGTCCGCGTTCTTATTGAGCTGGGCATTGACCTTGATGCACGGGATGAGCAAAACCGAACTCCGCTTCTCATAGCATCGGGCGATTCCGAATCGGCCATTAAAACCCGCTACAGCAACACCGCCTACCCTGACCTTGACATGTATTATGATGATGATATAAGATACAAAGAGACGACCAGACGAGACATTGTTCGGTTCCTGATCAAGAACGGTGCCGATGTGAATGCACAGGGTGGATATTTTGGCAATGCATTACAGGCAGCATCCTGCAAGGGCACCCCGGAAACCATTCAGATCCTCCTTGATGCGGGGGCAGCTGTCAGTGCACAGGGTGGAAAATATGGCAATGCATTGCAGGCAGCATCCTACAAGGGCACCCCGGAAACTGTTCAGATCCTCATTAATGCGGGGGCAGCTGTCAACGCACAGGGTGGAGAACATGGCAATGCATTGCAGGCAGCATCGTCGTTGCGTGAACAGATGTACCCGGAAATCGTCCAGATGCTCCTCAAGGCGGGGGCCATCATTGTCAACACACAGGGAGAATCTGCGGTAGCAGCAGCGCTGTGGGCAAACCGCTTGGACATTGTTCTCCTCTTAATCGGGAATGACCCTGATTATCATTGGGCCAACTGGAGCGAGAGCATACTATATAAACTAATCCAGTTCCTCATCCAAAATGGGGTTGATGTGAATGCATATGGTGGCCAATACGGCACTATGTTGCAGGTAGCATCATATCTGGGTCACTACAAAGCGCTCCACTTCCTTGTCGAACTGGGTGGAAATGTGAATGTTCAAGGAGGCAAATACGGCCCACCGCTCCAGGCTGCGTGGATGGGGCGCTGCAAGATGCTCGCAGATTGGGTCCCGGATAACGAACCATTGGCTCATCAGCTTGCCCTTTGCGAAAACTACTTGGCCATGGTCCAACTTACGAAGAAACATCGGATCCCCATGACAGAAGACAACCTGCAGCATTTCGTCAACTTCCTGTGGATACACAAATTTCTAGTGAAACAAGGTGCGGATGTCAGCGTACTTGATATGGACTTGGGAGTCCGGACTACTTTGCTTGGCAAAACATTGTCGGAGTGTAATGACTGCATCTTGTTTATCATGGTCTCTGGTGGCGCTGAGTATCAGTGGGCTATCGTATTACATTTTGCTTGTGTCTTAAGAAAATGAGATGTACATTGTTCGCCAATTATGAGGGTTCGGAGAATGGCACGCAATTCAGAGATTCCGCCGGTGGCTTGTTGAGGAAGGAAGAAAGAGCAGGATCTCTCGAAATTAGTGTAGATCTTGCGCCAATTGGGGTAGCACAGGGTAACCAGGTTTTGCGGCCAGCAGACAGGTAGGCAAGAAGTGTCGCTAGAGCAATGAAAACGGGATTCGTTAAAGAAGGAAGGAAAGAGGCAAGCGAGTTTAACAGTGGCCGAGGGAGTTGATGATCCGAGCTTCGCCGAGTCACACACGTGCTAGTCCAGGTTGAACACTAGTTTAGTTCTTGCTCAAATTTCGTAACCATATGTGAATAATTATTGATATTCTGTATGATCTGTACAGGAGCCATCGCCACTGAAGGTAACCTGAAGCCTTATGTTTCAACCGGTCATTTAGGACGACACATGATTGTGATTCCTGCACGCCTGGAAAAGAAAGCCGCACGGTAGTTTATGGCCCAGGCTCGAGTCGAACGAGCTTTCTCCTGCTGTCTCAATGTGTATCAAGAATGGATTGCAGGTGCGGACCGTCCGCTACCGGGCCTCCCATACCCTCCCTTTTCACCTTTCTTTATGCAGCCATTCCTGCCCGGCCAAAAAAAGTGAGACCCGAATCGATATGGCCCAGGCTCGAGTCGAACGAGCGTCCCGCTGACTAGCGTATTCCCAAGCAAATTGATGCAGGTGCGGACCGTCCGCCACTGGGCCTGATTCTCCTTCCTTTTGCCTTCGATTAAATTAGAAATTTGCGTTGATCCACGAAAAAGAAGAGACAGAGAGACTGGTGTATGGCCCAGGCGCGGAACCGTCCGCTACCGGGCCTTCTTCCCCTTCCTCCCCTTCCTACCATCTTCTCTAGATCAGAATTTGGCACAGGCAGATAAAAAGGGGCCGGTTCACTAGAATATGGCCTAGGCTCGAGTCGAACGAGCACTCCTGCCTATGGGATGTAGCTGAAAAATTGGGAGCAGCTGCGGACCGTCTGCCACTGGGCCTTATTCTCATCCCTACTTACTCCTCTATCTCATAATTTTCCGCACAGGCAGAAAAAGAAGACCTTGAACTAAGCTATGGCCCAGGCTCGAGTCGAACGAGCACTCTCCTGCTGAAAGCTGAGGCTGTAATCAACAGGAACAGGTGCGGACCGTCCGCTACTAGGCCTTCTCTCCCTCCCATTTCAGCTTCCTTTGCTCAACAATTTGCATGAAGCCCGAAAGAAAAACCGGCGACAACCCCACATGGCCCAGGCTCGAGTTGAACCAGCGTCTCCTGCCTAAATTTTTTATTATCCACAAATTGAGAGCAGGTGCGGAAGCCGTCCGACACTGGGCCGGACTCTCCTTCCTTTTGCCTTCGATTAAATTAGAATTTTGCATTGAGCCACGAAAAAGAAGAGACACAGCGAGACTGGTCTATGGCCCAGGCTCGAGTCGAACGAGCGTGTCCTACTGAAAATTGTATGGATAATGAAGCATTGAAAGCAGGTGCGGAAACCGTCCGCTACCGGGCCTTGGGTTGGTACCTGTGAGCTTGGTAAGATTCCGTATGTACGATGAGCGCAGGATGAATCAGAAGAGACAGAGCACAACTTGAAGGCTCACTGAATGACAGACAATAAAGGCGCTGAGAAGGGGCCCAAAACAATTGTGGCGTCCGCTTCGAATGTATACGTAAGTTCAGGATTGGCGAATGGTCTGCTGGAGATTCAAAACATGTTCTAGTCTGTAGATTCGTGCCACTGTGGCGATGCCATTCCGTAACGCAGGGGGAGGCACAGACCGGCAGATTGGCGCGCCGACAGCCGACATCGCACAAGTGAAAGGCACGTTACATTGAAAGGCAAGGCAACGCGTTACATAGGTGAGATGTAGATTGGAGAAAAAAATTGATACGTTGATTGGCGAGTGTATTCGAGCCTTGATAGGGGCCGCCGCCCGGTGTCTGTTACAATTCCATGTATAAGAATAAGTCCCTCGCTCGGAGATCGGGCAAGGCAGCGTTTCGAGGGCAGGGATTGGTTGGCGGGCGGCAGGGACGAAACCTCGAGGACATGGCGGTTGTGGTTAAAGCGTCGGAGTCCGAAAAAGGCGAAATCACGAGAGCACGTGGCCTCTCCTCTCTTCCTCTTGAACTTCCTCTCCCTATGAAGGTCCTTACTGGACAAAAGTGTTTTCGTGCAGTTGCAAACCAGGTTTTGCATGAGATCTTGCAAGATCTTGCAAGATATTGGGAGATCTTGCAAGTTTTTCAAAGATGCTCGAGATCTTGCAAGATGTTCAACTTTGTGCAAAGTGAAATGTGCATGATCTTGCAAGATCTTTCATCGTGCAATATCTTGCAAGATCTCGCACGATCACGACACAACTCACAACATCGGTCATCTCTCCTTTTTTGCCTGACATCTTGCAAGATCTTCCAAAAACACCACTTTGCAAACATCGCTCCCTCTCGCAATATCTTGCAAGTTCTTTGGTGCAGGTGCAAACACTTTTGATGCCATCGAGCAGTCCATGAGGCCTGTGCCGCGGCCAGCGCTTTCGGGTGAGTGCGGGGAGCTAAAAATACTTGGCCCACCGACAACCCAAGCCTTTGCGCATGGAAATCACGGCATTCGCATCCCCGCCCTTGCTGTAAAGTTGCTGATATGCTCAGCTCCTGAGCGATTAACTGTCCAATGTCCAGATCCGACCTGACGACCAGCTTGATGTGCATGATTCCTCGCCTCGGCTATACGTCTTATATTTATATATCCCTGGCGAAAAATATTCCAAACTCCTTCTTTCCTCCCTCGCTCTCTACCCCACTCTCTCTCTCACCCCCAAAAAATGTCGGTCCTCCACGCTCGATATGCATGTCTCGGATGCCCCCCGTCCTCACGTTGCGCTGCCTTCATCGCATCAGACACCGACCCCCGAACTAACACAGCTGTTCCTCGACTGGTACTTTGATCGTTGCACGTTCTCGTCACCTCAGTATTACTCAATTTCTCATCCAGACCCCTCAATTGTCTGATGAGATCTGTATTCTTTGCCACCACCCATGGATTGTCCATGAAGGCCAAGCCCCTTTGGATCCCACGCGTTAACTTCCCTTTTCGCCGTGGCGGATGTCCCGACACAAAGTGCGGTGGGTTCTTTGCGGTATGTCCTTCCTTGCATCGATGTGATGGCGGTTTCTTAATTGTGCGTAGGACCAACCGCGCTGGTCGTTCTTGACTAGCTGCGTATGTCTTGCCGCTTGGATGAGCCACCACCCAGTGGTTGACTCTATCAACTTTGCGAGCGCTACCAGGTATGTTCCTGTCTGTATCCATGGGTATACTTCTCTTACTCATGGACACATATTAGTTGTCCTCCCGTCTCAGGCGCACCGCTCCCGGGTGTTGCACCACCTCCTGCTCTTACCGTCTCTGCTCCAGTGCCGATCTCTGCCTACCAGGGCGGTCACCGGAAGCGCTGGCACCCGGGTACCTGTCGCGTGGCCAGCGCACTGCATACTCTTCCCCACAATCAGATCGCCAGTTTGTCCTCAGCGGCATCGGTGATAAGCAGTGTACAATTCTGGCTGTGAAAATCGCATTTTATGCATATATCATGACCATATACACTAAGGACATCTGTGTAAAAGGACTATTGTGAGCCCGAACAGTTAGTCATTGAACATCAGACACCTTAGGGGAGCTTCGAAGCATGTTCGTATAGCGGTACTCCATACTGAGGCCTATATACAGCTTGCACTGAGGTATAACACTCCGTAGAAAACAGTGCGGCCCAGTATCCAAGGGTTATCAGTCACTTAGTGTCAGTTCCCAACCAAGGGGAAGGGTTCCGAGCCCTGTGTACATGCAAAGAACAGCATATACGATCGAATAACAGGATGTTTGAACATGTTGACACTGATCCTCGCGCCACGACGCCTCACGTGAAGGGTCTGGGCTCCGGGAACCCAAGTAGCCGGTTCGATCGGATCCGAACGGACACGGATGACTCCATTGACGGAATCAAATATCAATCGGAAGACTCCGAAACGATGTTCGACTATCGTAAACTAGCACCTAAAGCCTATATATGATATATACCAGGCTTGGGAAGGAAACCTAAATACAATATAAGACACCTCGAAGGCGTTCTGAACACTATATACCATGGAGCATGACCATTCGCACCTATATCCCGACCGGTCGGAGGTACGAGTCATATGGTGTCGCTGTGAATCAGCAAGGAGGAGTCATCCACGAACGTGGGAGGGCCCTCAACCAATCATACAGTGGCAGTCGGCACTTCGTGACTACCGGATTGGGCGTGATGGGATTCCAAATTTGGAAATGATTCAGCGTCTTACAGTTACCTTCTAGACAACTTTTAACTGTGTAAGTACACTCTTTAGAATGTATTCTAACCAGGTTGTGCAGGGCTAAGGAAACGGAGAAGATTTTATGATTTGGGGCCGAAAAAAAGACCGATTATGTAATATTGACCACGTGCAACCCCTATCTGCTCTTATTTTCGCGTCGCGCGCTTCAGAACCCCTTCGTCTTGATGTACAGATGCAGGAACACATCTATGGGATGTGTATTTCTTGACTGCAAATGCTGCCTGCTGCACATTGAGGCCGCATCTGCCAACTGACTCAGTTTCACCAGAACATATGCAAAATTATGCTCACCTGTACGCATCCATGTAGCGAAAGCAACGACGGAAGTAACGACGAATATTTGTGACGGATACCTGGTCCAAGGCTTCTGGAACAAGCTTTTGGGCTTTTGCGAAGGTGCCGTCCGCCCTTTCACGGAAATCTAACAGCAAAAAGTAAGATGACATAATAAACAAGAATAACACTCACATCGTTTTGCTTGACCCCAAACCATTTCAATAGGATTTAACTCGCAGTGAAATTTGGGGAGGAACAGGCACTTGTGGCCTACCTTCTCGATGATCACCTGGAGCAAAGGCTTTTCCATCACGAAGTCCGGCTGCAGCGACAGAACTCGACGCATGCAGCATGTTTTGCTGTGGGTTAAATCAACATCCTCCCGTTCTGAAATGCTGCGATCAGCGAGCAATGCGTCCCCCGAACCCTCAGCTTCATCTTCGCGTGCCTTTGCCTCCTTCGCTACCTTGTCACGCGCCACCTGCGATGCATTGCAGTCTGCACAAACACCAACATACCGGCCACGCTTCCGATCCAACGTGTTGAGCAAATTGCGCTCTGCAAGTACCTGCTCCATCCCCTTGGGAAGGCCCGCGAGCGAGACTCCATCGCTATCGACCTCAGTGGAGTCTGCCGGGTAAACCATGTGCTGAACTTGACCTGTTGCTGGATTAATTGTGTCGTGCATTTTGGGTTGGCTTCCGCCAGGTGAGCGATTCATTTTATGAGCGAGGAGCGCGTCAGATGCGTAGGCTTCATGTGCCGAGGAACAGTCGAAAATGAAGACCGCGACCGCGTTGGGATAAAGATATTCGAAGATTTTGATTGCATCTCGAGTCTAAACAATGAAATTAGATGAAAAGCGGCGCCATCTGACAGACAAGAGTAAAATAAACCTGTGCGATGAGTTGCGGCATGTCCCACCAGGCGTCATAATTTGCCCCAGGATAAATTATACGGCGTGCATCGAAGGTCGGGAGTCGATAGGATGTTCCATTGGGGGCAGGCGGAGGTGTCCAGCTATGTTCTGCTTCTGTTCTCCCAGTTGTTGCGGCTGCACGCTTGTTTTTGGTTTTGGTGCCTTCTTTGCCTTGCCCTTTTTCGGTGGCGCATCCGAGGCGGGTGGTTCAGGCTGCGGAGCTGAGGTTGGTTCAGTGGGAGATTCTGTCTCCGTGGGTGCGAGCGGCAGCTCCATCTGAGCCAGAATCTGGTCAGGGGTTAATGCGAGCCGGCCAGAGGAAGTATCTTCGATTATAAAATCGGAGACATGAACGAGACGGCCACGGCTCTTGCCTCGGAGTGGCTGTTCACCCTCGTGCATCCAAACATAGCCAGATTGATCGTTCGCATGAAAGCAACACTCATCGTGAAAGATGCAGTAATGTGGTTTTGCGCCAATGCCAAGCTTGTCCGGTGAAATTGTCTCCTCCATCTCGTTGCCTTCATATTCATTACAGAACCTAGGAAATGTGATTCAGAAACGAATTAAGGAAACAATGAAATGCGCACGGCAACACCGAATGGTAGAGATAATTAATGAAAGTGTTGCGGGACTCCACAACATCTTCCCGTTCATGACCATCGACGTAAATCCCCTTGCGAACACGGGACAATGAAAATCCCATCTTCTTCATCCATCGCACGGCCGTTGACTCCGAAATTGTGGCCTCGATGTCGAGGGAAGGCAGGAGAAATTCGTTCACGTAGCGTCGAAGTTTTGCAGGTTTAATCTGGTCAAAACGGAGGTTAAAAAAAGGTAGACACGTCGAAATCTACGCTTACCTTTCCTTCAAACCCACCCTCCTCAAAGTCGAGCGCTCCAGTGCACCACACGCGAACCGCGGAAAGGACATCTGGATT